TGCCAGTAATATGACACAAGCGCTGACAGGGCATAACGGAGGGGTTGGGACGCAGATGGGACCCTACCCCAACGCAAATCCAGGCACCAGTAATGGGATCAGGTGGAAAGGAGCTGGTGGTCACGGTAGAGTGGCCTAGCATACACATGTATTATCGTGATTATTGCCCCCATACACATTCGTAGGATTTGCAGCTTATCCGCTCTCGGTAGACGGACCAACAAAGGATATATATGTTCGATCCACTTGTCTTTGTATTTGCATTTTGTTTCTCGTTTTACCTTCATGTCACTATGTAATCTTAGGTTGCTCTTTTGGCCGCGATGAGGAAGAATGATTCTAATGCAAGATAATTGATAACGGGAGTTAGAAAGTTCGGTAAAGTCTCTGTTTTGGAACTGGCCCGGATGACGTCGCTGCTTGAGTCATGTCAAATTTCTGCCGACGTGCAATTCACCTTCAACATCCAAATCTCCAAGTGACTACAACTTTAAAGACACGCGACAGGAAGGAGTGTTGGATGGCCGTCTTCAGAAGCCGCACGCATGGGTGGCGGGTCATGAATTCAAAACCGTCCCGTAATCTGTTCGGATTAACTATGGCATGACGGAGGTCAAAATCGGCGGCAAAAGCATAGGAGTAGTGACGGGAGGGTGGTGGGATTCCCGGGTAGCTCCGAGTCCTGAATCCAACTCTAGCGCGAATCGGGGACCCCGGGCCTTTTGTTTGTAGTGAGTGGGACCAATTCATGTCTGAGATATTATTTAAAACTTCTAAGGCATTTAATTGTCGCATTTTTCATGTATTCCCCTTTTTGCCATTCATAGATCCACCGCTATACGAACAGCCAGCAATTGCCGAAAACTTCAACTCTCTCTTCTGTCCCCTCATGGTTGGGAGTTCTGCACATCCACAGTTTCCCAGTATCCAGCTTGGAGCACTCGCCATTTCGATCTGACTTGCTCATCGAATCCAAGTATCAGGTACAGAATGGAACTTTCGAGGCAAGGCCATTCCTCGCAGAGCACCCTGGGCACCTTTTCTAAACCACTCTAACATCCCTCTTTTGGGGCCTCTGATTCTCTGCGAGATAAAAAGGGAATAGTCTGACCTCTTCCGTTTTTTTTTTCATCTCTCGCTCTCTTTTATTCTTCACCCCTTTGCCCAACTCCCAAAAACTATGTCCAATAGCCCTTCGGGAACGTCTCCGCCTGGGCGTTCGCGAAAACGCCGCAAATACAACCACGCCTGCCTTACTTGCCGCCAATCGTAAGTGGCTTGCCATCGCCGATAAGACGGGATGGGGAGCAGGCACTGAAAAATCATTCCAATTCAGGAGGCGTAAGCCCAGGTGCAACAGAGACTGGAATATCGGAAGCGCAAGCTGTTCAACCTGTCAGAAGTCGAAGGTTGATGTATGTCAAATCTCTTAGACGGAGTGAGGTGTCAGCGTCACACTCATTCGATCATCGAATAGTGCATTAGGCCTTCCCCTAAACCTCGAGGAATAGCGGGTATGAACCAGTTGTGATGGCCCCCCCAGCATCCAACGTACGAGACCACCGTCTGCACCATCCGTTTTGACCCCCCGGGAAATCTGGGTCACAACGCACAGCACAAGCGCCCACGGAGTATAACAGAAGGTTGGGAGCACAGACGGGACCCTGCCCATTTGCTCCAAGCAGTACATCCTTCGGGTCCTGGAATTGACCCGAATGTTGGAACCGGTGTACCTGCAGACATGTTCTCGTGCTTGCCGCCCTGCTCGTGGCCTGCCCCCAGCAGACAGACCGACAATGGTTGTTCTATCCGTTCAGATTTTGTATGCATAAGAATCCTTGTTTTCCTAGTTGATACATTGACTTGCGATACCGGGCGCTTTTCCTTTATGTCAATTCGTTTTATGCTAATACTCATATTCTACATCGACTGACGCGAAAGTGCCTTCAGCAGAATAGAAGGACTTCCACAAGAAGATACAGTGGCGAGACGGCAGTCAATACTATGGCAGACACTCAGTCTAGGGAGGAGTAGGAGGTTCGCAAATTAGGAAAAGGGTGAGAAGGGACTAGCTTGGACGTCGTTGCTTAGACACCTAGGATTTCACATTTCCTTGGCCGATGCGTTGCCCGCATGCAGCAGCAAATGCCTCGTTCGAAATCCAAGCCTCCAAGCAACGATAAGCAAGACTCAAGGTCGCAGGCCATTTCAACAAGACAGAAATAAGTGTGTACTTTGGAGCATACCAGTCGTGACCGGTTTTAGGGGCCGCGGCACACCCAACAAGCGTTTCGTGACGCGCGGCTGCATGTGGGAAAACGCATGGCTGTTGCTCCGCGAGAATCTCGGATCCAAATGGGCTCGGACTGTGGGTCCAATAACTACACCATAGTACAGCTGATATTGTTGTGCGCGTTGTCTATTTCCATCTTAAACCACTCAGCCGTAGGCGGCTCGGCGGCTTTACGCCGCTGGAAGACCGCTCCGCGGTAAATTTCATGACGCTGACAGTGAGCGTCTCCCGGGGTGAGATTGGCAGGGTAAGTCCCCTATCTCCTCTTGAACCTTTGGACCACACTAGCTGTTCTAGTACATTCCATCATGTACATAGGTAGACAAAAGAACACATTACGGGACAGAAAGATCCACCAGACTGAATAAAATCAAATACCCGTCAACACGAACCAAGTATAAAACTGTATCAACACAAGAGAACGATCAAGTCTGATCTGGACTCTTCACTATAATTCAGCATCGCTCGCACTGCGGATGTAAGTGGGAAAGGATCACATCAAAGATAATAGTATTACCACAGTCTCGCGGATTAATTATAATTCCGCAAGGATTATGCGAGATTCAAACCCCTACGGGCGATCTCAGCGTACGAGTACCTCCGGGGAGGTTGCGCTGTGGTTCCGTATTCTGTTGCGGGGGGACCGTAAACTGTTGAAGCATTAACTACGTTGGAATGAACGGCATTAAAGTGCTGAAGGGGGAACACTTGACCAGGGACAACGGTGTTTGGTGTTGTCATGGAATTGTTCGGTTGGGTGAGATGGAAAGGGCCGGCTGAGGCGGCCGCCAATGCATGCGCTAGCGTCGAGAGTCCTATCACAAGGCAGTGGCGCATCCACCGAGCTGGGGGTGAGAACACCGCCATGTACGAACGCAGGAGGACTGCTCGATCTAGGTATGACGAGGTTTTCTATACCATGCATTCCTGACGGCGCGCTGGCGCTAGGCTCGTCCATCTCAGCGGTACCACCAAATTCATGTCTAAAACGCAAGAATTGTCAGTGAAACGGGAAACGAAATATGAAGACAATGGCTGACGATTGACGGGGAGAAACTTGCTCGGTGGGCATACTGCCGATTGGTTCAGCTGTATGGAAGCTCGCTGGAAGCTCGGCGGTCACTATTTGCTGCGCCACAGGGTAGGGCGCACCAGGGCATTGATTCTGAGTATTGGAAGAATCCTGAAGAACAAGACTGTTTAAAGTCGGCTCTTAGCCGTGATTGATAACTCACAGATTTTACAAGCCGCAAGTCTATGCCGCAGCATCACAACCGGAACGTTCCCGGGTCCGTCGTGCTCGTTCAGCCCATTCAACCCTTAGAACCGGGCCGTAAGGCGAAGATGAATGTTATGCATTGTAGACGAAACTCACACCAGTGTGAAATTACTAGGGTGGTAGTAATTATTGCAGCCAAGGCAGCGTCAGTATATCTATTCCGATGGTTTTGTCAGAAGCCACACGCACCCAATAGGCCTACAGAATTGTCAGTATGCTTTTGCGAGAACTAACAAAATTTACGAGCCTTTGCTACAAGTTGGATTGTGCGACCGCATGTAACAACTGAGCAGGATCGCTCCCCATATGGTTTCCAAAGTTGGATGGAGGAATTCCCTCCCCAAGTACGACATTGTGTCGTCCTCGAATTTTTGTAGTACCTCAGGACTTACAAAGGGGCGTAACTGGGGCAAAATAACCGTGCAGTGAAGGAATGGATTTAAACCCTCCGAACTGGCTGCGGTATCCGACAATAGAGTGTCTTTAAATGTCCCCCAAGCAGGCGCCGGGAGGAGTCGATTGGCCTCCAAGGTCCCATCCCGTATGCATTGTTCATACTGATACTCGGTGAGCGTTCGAGGAGGAAGCGGCAGGGATTCGAACGCTGGATACTTAGCAACGGGGATGCCCGGGATCTAGAAGAAGTCACGGGAGCGGAGGCCGCACCTTTTGGTAATTGCTCCTTGCACTGCAATGGCAGACGGAGGATCAGGAAAGGGGAGGAATATGGTAAATACATAATTACCTTCAAACCCCTTGAATGGCATCTTACACACGGGTTGCTCTCGCTCCATGGGGCAGTTCCTACCCTCAGTTCACATCTCTGGTGGCTGCGAAGAAATGCATATCTTAAAAGAGAATCACTGATCCGCAATAGCCGATGACATGCCTCTCCGAGCAACCTCTACAGGCTACCGACGCATATGGACCTCTTTTCGTCGTCGTCTTGCCCATAGAGTAGTTGATTTCCAGCGTTTGAACCCTCCTTGAATCGATCTTATAAAGCCCACTGTGGGGCCTATTCCATTCATACGCAAATGAATCAACCCAGTGCGCCACATAGCCCAGATCCCAGAGTGGTCAAAAATGAGGGAATTATTGAGCACCGGATTCAAGGCGCCAAACTACACTCGATGCCAAGAAAACGTGCCGGTCCCCATAGCATATAAGCTGAAGGAGAGTCAGATGAACTCTGCCATGCGTCTGTCCACCAGTATGTACCAGGCTTCGATGGTTCGGCGTTGACGAGCGCCGGCCGACTCCATGTCATTGACCCGAAATTTAACAATGCAGTGGCTCACTTTTCCGGTAACTTATTCATAGCTCACGGCCCCTCATAGCTTTTCGCCATCGTGACAATAATCGACAAGTCGTGGTCATGGTGTATTGTTCCCAGAGGTCAGCGGCAAGTTTGAATAGCGCCCGCGCGCGACAATGCATAGCCCATTTGAATAATACCGCGCGCCGCGCGCACCTCATGACGGCAACGGGCTTCCACGCACCGCCATTTAACAATATCAATGGCTTCTTGGTCCGCGTGGTTCACGCCAATATTCCGCATTTTCCGCACGTGTGCATTCATTGGCTTTCTCATCAGCCCGGTTCTGCCGCGCGGCTCAGTGCGCCACGAAATAACACCCTGTTTCTGTCAAAGGTATAAAGTTCGACGTCGATACTACACCTTAAGCGCTTGCGTTACTTGTCTCACTGGCGATTTCACAGCCGTAAGCCAGAGGAATGACTTCACGGTGAGTCTACCATCCGTTATTATTATTATTTATTTTTTTTCAGTCAAATTTGATCTTCTTGGTGAATCCGTGCAGAACTTCCACCTCACCAGATGGACCAAAGACTCGGCGGAGAACCGAACCATACCCCTCAGGCTTGACGCCTCGACGTGCGAATTCTCAGACTCAGTCAATGCGGAAAATCCGGTAGGTTTGTTCGTGGCAATCAAGTATACTGCGGAACTCACTCGAGCGGAGGATACACCTTCTGCGCATCTAGTCCCATATGTTCCGCACTGGGATCGTTACTTGCCACACAGCGATCTGGGCTCCAGTGAACATGATGCAGTTCTTGGCGCTTACTTTTCCCGCACATGTAGCTGGAATATGGTGGTAAACCCAACTTGTTTCCTCCGCGATTACAGGCAAGCGTTATCGCAGGATGTGAGTGGGGACATAGTGCATTATTCCCCCATGCTTCACAACGGGATTCTGGCCTTCGCATTGGCCTTCTCGTCTAATCAAGCACACCGGTCTCTAGAATTCCGCCAGCGGTTCGCCACGCAAGCCAAAGTTCACTTCGACACTGAATGTCAAACTCCGACTCTGAGTACTGTTCAAGCACTTGCTATCCTGTCTTGTTTTCACAGCGGGGCTGCGGTTAGGTATGTGCCCTTCTTGACAATTTATCAGCGCATTGTTTAAGCTCCGTTCTAAACAGTTCTCAGCTTCACATACTTAGGTTTGTTTTCCACCGGTACAACGTGGTTAAAAGCATTTAGACTCTCACTTTCACAGGCACGGCAATCCGTGTTTCCCAAGCTCGTAAGTCATTCCAATGGCCAATGGTAAGTTGTGACTGAAAGTCTCCTTGAGTAGTTAATCTAGAAAACATGAAAGTGGCAACTTCACCAAATGATATCGATTATCAGCGTGCTTGTATTTTCTGGAGCTTGTATTCACTCGTGCGTGTTTGCATCCTAGCCACTGGCTTCATGACATCAACTGTGTTTTCCAGGATAAATGCTGTAGTTTATATGTTGGGCGACCCCAGACCCTTTTCCCTTGCTTTGAAGGGCCGTATCAACCTCCTGGGGCTCCCTCAATTGACTACGGTGTGGATGTTGGCATGGAATGGTTGCAACCCCCAGTGCTTGGTGTTTCAGGACCACTAAATGCTGCGTTTATTTGGCACACTAAAATAATGCGTATCATTTCATCGGCCATGAAGCTTCTGTATGGCAAAAATGGTGTCTGCAATTGCATGATCGACATTCGCCATGTCGAGTATTTGAGGTATGCCTAGGGCCCGATCATTACAATCACACTCATAACCTCAGCACAGTGGACAGTTGGAACGATGGAAACGGGATCTGCCTGGTTCTCTTCGCATTGATGTGAAAGATCCCAATCTTCTTGTCACCCCTGAAGTGACAATGGTCAATCTTGTGGGCGAATGGATGCACATACTCCTATACCAGCCCTTTTATCAAGACCGTTCCAGCATTCGTTATGTGACCAGTTCCGTGCATCAGATTGGTTTCTCTGATCAGGATCATACGCGCGTCTCACAACTTCGTGATCAAGCATTCAAGACTGCCACACCCGCTGCTGAGCGGATCCTCATGTTGCTGAACAGATTTGACTCTCAACATGGCCTTGACAAAATGGACAATACCTCCGTTCAGATAGCCTATGTTGCGGGGAAGATCCACTATCTAGGAATCCTCGACAGCACTTCCGCCACCTATGGATGCACCCTCCCCAAAGATGGAATGATGAAGGCCATTCAACTCCTCAGGAGGATGGGCAGTATCTGGAAATCTGCGGTGGCATCAGCGAACAGACTCGAGGAACTGTACACAGCTGCTTGTAGGGATGCGTCAAGGGAAAACTCAACATCGTAAAGTGTCTGATATTCTTCGTGCTCCGAATTTGGCTCATTCGGTCTTCATTGTTACACAGTTCATTGTTGGTGCGACTCACACCAACAATAAAGAGTGAAACCACCGCCCTCAAAGCAGAGCCCGCGTAAGCAAATTAGGTGCACGAGAATCCCAAACACCAATGGATTTGAGTCATCTTACTCTCATGCAACCTCTTCCGTTGATTGCTGGAGTCCTGCCCACACTCATTGACCCAACATATCTCAGCTGAGAAGCAGCGCTTACGATTGTCGAATCCTTCACGATCTCACGGTGTTGACTGCAGCCGATATCCCGGTGGTTCTCTTAGCCTGCCCATAAAAGATTGGAAATTGACCCGAAACTTGTATACATCAGCACACTGACCTGAATGATAAGATCGTCGGCTTCAAATATTAATACTGATTCCGAGGCCAAACCGACCGCAGGGATTTCGGTACATCCGGCGTCGACGCTCCTATTTAATCCAACTTTGTTGGCAGTAGCTCTAACATACTTTGAAGCGACATCACGATTAAGATCTTGTCGAGCAAACAGACTTAAGAGACGACGGCTGGTAGGGAGGTGGCCTAAATATGGTGTTCGGCTCTTCGGAAACAAGACAGCGTTGTCGATAGCCCCAACACCTGTTCACGGGTTGATTGCGCACCCCAGCTGTTCAACATGAAGCGGCGGATAAGTGTTGGCGATGAATGTTTTAGTGCCACGGTGCCCAAGAACAAGGCTAGGACTAAAACGGAACAGACTGTTCCGCGCATCTCTTGGAAGGGATGTGTGAGTTCTTAGGGCTTGGAGAGGGAGAGATAAGCAACTGAATTGTAATTTGAGAGGGAACACCATGAATGGAATGGATTCGGCGCACTCCGCTACAATACATCCTCGTTGGCCCCGCAATCAAAGTCAGACTCAGAGGAATTGTGCGAACTCAACACGAATATTGGGCTGTTGTCTAGTGGCATCACGTAGCTGTTGCACTTTGACATTGTTCCCCCGGTTTTTTCGCACCGTTCGATGTTTTGGATCTCTCTTCTTGCTCTGCAACTCTCCGTTGTTAATGGCCAGGAACTAGTGCCCCCTAGAAAGCCAACCCAACAATTCATGGACGCTTGTGTGGAAGCTACGCCAGATTCGTCCCTCTGTGGGCCCTTTCGTCCTCGGCGGGCGAGTTAACTTGACCTGGTGGGGGTCCGGTTCTGCGCCGGCTCCAACGCCACTCTGCTTGAGATCACTGACAATTTGGGAAGGAAGTCTTACCAGTCAACGTCAGTGAAACTGTCTCCTTCGGAGAGGAAATGACACGTGCGAATGACTCCCCTCCTTCGGAGGTGCTGTCATGCTCTGTTTCTGGGATGGTTCTCGAGAACCAGGAACAATCGGCCTTCGGTTTTTCTTCATGGGGACACGATTGTAGGTGGGGGGGAGCTTCCAGTTGCGTGCTTGCCCAGGTTGCGAGATGATTCAACGCGGTGCCGGGGTCTCGGTCCCCATCGCAAAAGATCTTGTACAGGGCGCAACCGCCAATTCAAACTTACTTAGAGTAGAGATTAGTGCGCCGTGGGATCAGCTGGATTCCGCACCACCTTCAAGCATGTCCCCGTCGCCCTCGACGGGACCTTCATGCCAACTCCCGACCCTTTTGGATGCAGGCCTCAACCGCGCCCCACTACACGTAGCGCCCGCACCTCTTTTGCTGTTCATCACGACAATCCCGGACCCCTTGCAGGGGTATATGTCTACAGTGGCTCTCAGCAGCCTGCAGCGAATCCATGGACTCCAAACGGGCATCCTACTGACTATGCGTCTCCAGTGTTGATACCGTGATGTCTTGTAGGGAAAGATTGGGTCGCGTTTTTTTGAAGGTCAGTTTGGCGCCGAAGTTTCGATGGTTTTGTTGGTGGAAAAAGAGTGGTTAATATTATGGAAGATAGTAAGGCTGGAGCTCGCGGAAATAGCGGGACACAGCCTAGCTTGAAACCAGCGTGAGCAATAGCTCAGGTTTGATCTACTATTACTATTTCAGCTGATGTGCAGCTCACATCCGGCAGCAAATGACTCGCTCAAAATTTGCAGCGCCGCGAAAATGCCTCAGCAATGTATTTCGCACGGTGCCAGTCCCTAGATATGTCTCGGTTTGGTTTAGGGGCCGCAGCAGGCCTAGTAGGCGTCTCGCGCTGCTACGCTGCAATCATTCCCAAAGCAACGACTGTTGGTCGATGTTGGTTGATGGATTGATTATTCACAATGGACATTTTTCTTTTCGCCCCATTGCTTGGGGAACCAGGTTAAATATTCAAGGCTGTATGGCGCGTAAACTCTCAGACTCGTAACAGATATCTATAATTGATAACACTATATACCTAACGTACTTACGGCCGTGTGTGTTCTACGCCAATTAAAAAACACATGAGTGATCTGTTATCACGAAAACACCTCTCACCTCAGACTCGTAACAGAGATTGAGGGAGAGCTAGAGGGAGTCCAAAATTTTTATGCACGAATATCGCGCATTAGTGGGGCGTCACTCGGAGTCGTCCGAACAGGGAGAAAGTGTGAATGGTAACCACTGTTCCGCATACCACAAAGCTAGGGGTTTCGCGTTGCGGATGATGGATCGAATGTTGGAATTTCAACATCAGGAGGCAGGGACATTGATGCCTAGCTCGAGTTTCCCTTGTTTTCTTGGCAATGGTCCTCGCGTGATGTCCCTGATAATATGATAGTCGCCTGGCACCCCTCAGGCTTGATTGTACGCACCTCAAAATTAAGCCTGCCAATTTGCGGTACCGCAAAGTCATAAAAATTTACGATGGTGCGGTCTAGTCTCTTACATAGTATGGAAGCCACCGCTCATTCACTGCTGAGAGGTTTTAGCCTACTAAACATGTAGAATCGCTCCGTTCACCCGCTGTCATTTGACTTGGCATCACATTTATCAACAAGTAAGCATCGATCGCGCCGCGGTTCTCAACAGATTGATCGGCGGCTGCATTGATAATTAAAAAGCGACCTATAGCGCAGAGATGATCTTGATGTCTCTTGACTCACATGTATGAGCATGAACGTACTAGGGAGGTCATCCGTATCCGTCTCCGACCAATCAAGTACATCGTACTCTGAGCATTTGGCACAATCCTCCCTGATGCGATGATTTGGCAATGTTGAAAACGGAAAAGGGGTCATGATCTTCTATGGGCCCGGGGCGTAGGGTTCCACTCGACTCCGAGAGCTGCTCGGGGGAAATATATCGAGGTCGGCCCTTCCATCACTAGCGCTGTATGGATGGGCGCAAATCTGTCGCAGCAAGTGGGTTGAGGGTGCGATGGCAGCACCAGGTAATTGTATGTATGGAACACTGTAGGATTGCTTCGTTACTTAGAATTTATGGTGCCTGTTGCCCACGTGTTTCAAAGTTAGTAACAACAATGTGCGGAAATGATCTTCTTCATGATTTGACGCCGAAATCATGAGGTGCCAACCCACGGAGCGGGGGCCCTTTGATTTTAGGAGGTCGTAGCACATGCCACTGCGCACGTTGACAAAATATGCACCAAAGGTGAGGTATTTCTTGCAAATTAGACATCATCAGCGCTATTCAAATTCATCATTGCAAATGTTGGAGTCACAAAATGAAAATTGATTCCTTCGTAAACTCTCCTTACGAGTCGAGGGTCGATCCCTCCATCATTGATGGACTCGTGTACAATAAAAGGCAGCTGGATCGAGATCAGACGCGCGCTTCCCTTTTTTCCATCCTTTAAATCTTCTCTCTCCTGCTATTCTATTAAGACCAATGCTCTGATCGGTTTAGTAAAAGAAAAAAAAAAAGCAGCTCTCCTCTTCCTCTCAAGTCTTCAACTTTACTCCTTCCACCACCGCCTTCTACGTTCTATCTTTCCTCCAACACTATGTCCAGGAATCGTGTTGTTATGTAGCTCTCAGCGTGGACACTCGGATAACGGGGAACAACCGACTTGATATTGTAACCGCACAGCGGTATAAGTAGTTAAAGTAATAACACGAATATCAGACAAAAGTAATAAGAAAGTGAGATACGCGACAGCGCTACATGTGGAAGGCAATCAACAGTGAAACACGAAACACATGGTAAAAGGGTATCATATCGGATAGCCGATATGGGCATGATATGCGTACCGGCGCGTCGTCATGTCTTGCTCAAACAACAAATCGTTCGGAAGCATCCCCACCCGGGAGTTCAAGAAAGCGTGCCAAGTACAATCGCGCGTGCACTTCTTGTCACCAAGCGTAAGTAGCTCGTTGTTGATAAAGGGGCACGCGCACTAACAACTTCTCTCTCTCTCTTTCTCCCTAACTTAGTCAACGCAAGTGCGACAGAAGATGGGAGGTTGAAGGTGCAAGCTGTTCAAGGTGCACGGGGTGGGGACTCAATGTATGCTACGTTTGCTCGCGGTTGAGTGAGCCAGGCTTCAGCACCATACTCACTCGACACATTGCAAAGTGCGTAGGACAGCCACCTAAACTTCGAGCCTCAGGAGTATCGACGAACACTACTGATACGTCGGCCGATGGTCTCCCTATCGCTTCTCAGGCTGAACTACAACACTCAGGTGCGACGGTTCATCATTTTTCTCCCTTTTGCGGATACTATGTAATTTCCTCGCGCTTTTGGAAACTTCATACTGGTAGATCCAACTCCTCAAGATCATCATCGTCATCATCAGAACCTCCGGCAACCTCGTGCATATAATATATTTCAGAATACCGGAATAGCCAAAGGCATCGGCTATGCCAATCACCTCTTTCCTGGCGTTTTCAACCAAGAGCGATTTGTGCAACGCTCTCGGCTCCCAGCGGATTCAGTAAACCCCGACGATCATCAACACTTCAGTTTGATGTTACTTCTCGTCTTTCGCCTCCTGGACAAGAACCCCTGGGAGGATGGATTTAGAGAGCTTCTGGACGTCGCCAAAGAAGCTTATGGGAGGGAATCTGAGGTTCCAACTCTCGCCACCGTTATGGCCGTTATTTTGTTGTCATGGGGGTTGTTTAGGTTACAAGATCATGCCCGCTTCGGTAAATATGCTTTTGGAATCTTTATCACCACCCTCAACTCACGTCTTCAACAGCGAAGGACCTTCTAGGCAAGTCTGTGTTTGCGCATTACATTGACGATGTTGCTGATAGTAAAATGGTGGGGTTCCGACTAACGTCAGCTAACGCCCATACGTGTAAGTACCCCTGCTTTCCATTCATGTACCCTGTTGTTGACCATATCGCAGGGTTGGATTCGTACGAGGAGCGCTTATTACTAAGGGATACGTCTCGGGACAAGATTGACAGCCTCCTGGAAAAAGTTCATGCTCTCGTGCGTTGTCAAATAGTAGTTCTTTGGCCAGTTCGAAACTGACATTCTCCGACATCTGATCCATAGGCCAAGGAGGGGGACTTTGAGTTGTGTGTTCCGTCAAGGGATGGAGTGATCCAATGCCAGCGATCTTCACCAAGGCGCGCGCCGCAGGAGTCTCAGCCCGACATTGCAAAAGCTCCTGCACAGCGCACAGCTGTCAAATCAACATCAACTAACTTGGATATTAGCGCACCGTTAGATCAGCTAAATCCCAGACCACCCCCAAGACACACTCTGTGGCCATCGGCGGGAGGTTATGCGCCGACTGAACCTTCATACCTGCCTCCCCTTTTCAATTCACCGAGTTCCGCTGGCCACTCCAATGGCCTCAGCAGGATCTCGGTGAACCCGACCCTAGCCCCTCCGTCCGCCACAGGAGTTGTGTATCCCCTCGCAGGCGTATATGACGGCTGTATTGGCTCCGTAGGCCATATCGTCTGGCAGCTTGGGTGTCACACTGACTACGCACCCCTTTCGATACAGGATTCCAATGTCATTGGTCAACAGGCTATGGCATACGCTGCTGGAAGTTCGGGTCCATTCTTTGCGTCAAACAAGGGACATGTGCAAGTTGCCCAAAACTCCCCTTCCAACCATGTTCAACACGCTGTCCCATCTTTCATCAGGCCTCAACCCTCCGCTCAATATTTGAACCCATTATTCATACCGCCCACCTTGAATCCGCACCACCGGAGTTGGGCCGATGTGCAGAGTTCTACCCATAATATGGGACGGGTGCCTGGCAGGGAGCGCACTGGAGGGATTCGGACCCATATGGAACCGTATCCTAACGCAGATCCAGGCTCCAGTATTGGGGCCTTCGGATGGAATGAAGCTAGAGATCAAAGTAGATAGGATTCCTATCTGGGGGTATTGTTATGATGGATTCTTTGATATATTCGTTGTATTTTCAGTTCACTATCTTCCATTAGACATTCTACTCGCTTATCATTGGACTTTTGGTTTCTTTGGTTGGCACATTTTGTTTCTTGCGATCATGGACGCCATATATTCCTTTAACATAGTCTTATCATTCAATGTTGGTGTCGGGCTTGCGCGTTTTCTTCATGATAGTGATATATGAAAGTGGCTTATAATGGTTAAATCTGGTGCAAGACGGTTGATGCCGTGAGCACAGGTGAGAGTCTGGGGAACATAGAAATTACATTTTCCGAATAACTGGTGAGTAGTGGCACTGAGTTTTGGGATGATTGGGGCTGAGTCTTGACGTGTCCGCCACTTGAGGGATTGAAGGTAAAGCACCGGGAATGTTGTGAAGGGAATAACGTGATTTATAATTTAATTTCCTGGGTCAGTGCTCTCCAGAGACCAACTGTCTCTCAACATATGTATGCAGAAGGATCCAGCCTCATCAGTACTGTGCGGCTCTGAGATACCGAGTTGCCGTGTGCAAATTCGCGACAGAAGAAGCGATGTTTGAGCATTTGTAGGCACGACTCCTAGGCAGGACTCCAGCCTCTATAACTTCGTAAGAGCGTTTGGTTCTAGCGATAGGTAGGCGACCAGCCCTCTTTAACGGGGAGAGATGTTAGCGACTTCTACCCTTAAAACCTTGCATCGCTGTCAACTGCTCATGTGAGCAAGCATCCCTTTCAGCAGGTATCTGATGCATGCTCCCACTCATCAGCGCAGCGGACGGAGAAACACACATGGAATTACACTGTCAGGTCCGGCGGGGCCTGAGCACTGAAACTAAGTGGATTATCGCCTCCACTCGAGGCAGGCGTCATAGGAATACTCAACTTAGTGGTCATTGTTGTCGAAATCGGCACCAGAAAATTCCTGCTATGAGCGGCTTGTTAATAGCATGCCCTCTTGGATGTCCCAAGGGCGTCGAATAGCTGGCAGCGAGTTGCGATGGGATTTCACCCTTATTTAACGCAAGTTCATAATCGGCATCCATGGATTTCTGCTGCGAATTTAGTGCCAATCCTGCGCCCCCACAGCCAGAGCCGATGGGATCATTGGGCCCTGGGGTGGAGTTGGAGGTGATCGACATTAATGTTATAACGATTTCCCTGCCCATTGGGTTCGCGGCCTGCTCTTCGACCAATTTATCTTTCGAATTTTGGTTTTTCTTTGTTAATATATTAGTTGGTTGGTTGTGACCCCATCATTTCACATACTTGAATCACATTTTGATACCCCTGTTTTCATGATGCACGCTGAGTGAGACGACGCGCGTTTTGTAAAGTCCAGGGTGTTCCGGGGTGACACGGCAACGATGAAAAAAAATCAATGATTGCGCATGTGGTGACAGACTACTACATACATATGGGTCCCAACGGATCGGATTACTGTGATTCGGTTGAGAATCCGCAAATGTATACGGTTCAACCCCGGATTGAGATACCATACTCCAAACTGGGTTTGCAGCGATCATCGAAAAACTGATGACGTTACGTACAGTACTTGGGTTGTTGCAGAGGTCACACCATCTCGAGTCTCTGGAGCCAAAACCGCATCCGCAGATATCCGTGTATCATCCAATCTGCTTAGGAGCCTCATGAGCACAAGCGATAAGTGGTCAGTTCCACATTTAAATCCAGCACCAAAGATCAAACGAGTTCATTGGTGGGAAGATAGTCGCTGGAAGGTGGCCAATACTGTGGTAGTAGATAGTGAGCACCAGGAGAGTAAGACACCGCTTAGTTGCAAGTGCTGGCTTGAGCGACGTTGTTACTGGGACGCCTGGACTTCTGTCCTGTTTCTGCCAAAGTGGGGCTCGCAGCGAACAATAATTCATTCGGTTATCAAACGGCCAAATGAGATTCTGCTGGGGTGCCAACTGCCGCGGGGAAATTTCGCAATGTGGGCTAAGTAGAGGCAGTCAAGCGGGCGGTTACAAGCCGCCATCAAATATGCATAGCTACTTAGGGACCGTAGCCGTAGCGCGCCTAGTCTATAAGGCTTGCGCGATATAAGCGAGAAGGCGCGTCAGTCTTGGATGAATTGAATGCAATTGAACCCGTCGCAGCTTTCGATGAATTCTGTCGATTCTGTCGAATCTTGAATCATTGTGCGAACGCACCACTCTTCACTTGGACAGTTCGATCGATGCCTTTGCTTGCTGGGAATTTAGCAAGCGGGATGTGCAGCAGATATCTAGTCGGAATGTGTTACCTCATCGCCTACATTATTCCGCGCGCGCGGCGCTTTGGCAAGTGCAATGTGTTCTGTTTCCGCAATTTCCGGGAAGTTTAAGAGAAAAGGGAGCCATGCAGTTCCTTACGCCCTTCCCTCTTACCTCGTTTCCTCTCCCTTTACTTCTTCACATTTCCCTGCACCATGCCCCAGAATCTTGCTTCCTCGCCGGAGAGCGCCCGAAAGGAGCGCGGTGGATATCACAAGTTTTCGTGTCAATCGTGCTACGATGTGTGAGTCATGCGCCATCGTCGATGATGGGTCGAATGGGGGATGGCGCTGATGTCCTGACACTGGATCAGTCATCGCCGGTGTAACCGAGATTGGAACAACGACGCGAAATGCTCAAACTGCGATACCTTGGGGACTCCAGTACGTTAAACTTGTTGGGCCTATTCACGCTTTGGCTTGATGCTAACCCTGGTACGAAGTGCCTCAGACGGGAACGCAACTCTGGGTCCCATGAGTCCGGCTCGAGAAATCAGGACAATACTGCTGGTACTTCAACCAGGTCTGAGGTGCATTCAGGTGCGGTGACACGCCGTTTTCTCCATCTTTGACGACCCACGCCGATCGAAAAATCCCCAGGGAATAGCAATCAGAATCGTCGTGCTCGGCAGCAACAATATTCTCCCAAACATGATACCGCACAGGAAATATCCCAAGGCATCTCCGAAGTGAACCATCATATCCCTGGTATCCTCGGCGAGGGAATATCCACAGAAGGCTTAAGGAATCAACTCAGCAATGATGAGCGCGTTAGTCCAATGCTCGACCGAGTCCTTCGCCTTTTTGGAGCTAGCTCCGCGAAAGCAAACGGGCCCAGAGAAAGGGTGCTCCTGGATGAGGCTAAGCAAGCTTATGGTTTGGAGTCCGAGGAGCCCACTCTGGCTACCATCAAGGCCACGTTCCTGTTATCATCATGGTTGTCCGAGTGGAAGCCTGTATATGGTGAATATGGTTTATGGATTTGAACGCCCTAACATTTCTCACTCCCATCCCTCACAGCGGAAAATTTGCTAGGCAAGTGGTTTTGCTCGCTGTATGTGCGTTAGCACGTTGCTGATAGAGTGCTGATCCCATCAGACAATGCCTATGAATGTTCGTCCTCCCCTTTTTCGTGTTTGTGTGCTGTGTGGCTGATTGTCCCCCCAGGGTTGAGTTCACACAACAGGCATGAACAACTCAAGTATGTGCCTTCCCACGAAATTCACCAACTCCTGGACAGGGTCTTGGCTTTTGTACGTCTCCGGATTGTATGGTTTAGTTCATTCTAACTGAAACGATGCAACATGACCTGCAGGCCAGAGAAAAAAGGTTTGGGTTGCGTATTCGCTGCAACCACGAAAGGACTGAGCCTCTATCGACTGCGTCTCCGAGACGCCAACCAGGGACCCAACTTACGACCATCAGCACTCGCACTTCCCCCACATTGCGGGTGGGCGATATGGGCATCGTTCCATCGGAACAAGTCGACTCCACATCCCCTCCGTTATATCACCTCGCCCAATCGATGAGCCCGCCCCCACCACCTGCGCACACATCATATCAACCCCCCTTTCGTGGTCAACGGCGTCCTGCGCCAGTTCCTGCCAACATCGCTGGAAGCGCCCCGGCACCAGTGCCTCCCACCCCTGCTGCATCGTTTACGGAAAAGGTTCCGACGTACACCGAAAACGTATACCCTAACCACCCGCGCGATCCCGGCCCCCTAAATGGAACTACTCAACAACTCACGTTCGATCAATCAATGGTAAACACTGGCTTCTACTTTTCGGACTATATGCAGATCCCGATGCCCCCTACCACATACCTTCAACGGCCCCCGCCTTCCGGTTGCCTTCCACAGCCTGCCCAAATTTCGGGCCCATCCTTCGTGATGCCGGCATCGAATCCGTATCAACAGCAAAACCGACCAGTTGCGAATAATCCCCGGGCGCAAACGCTGACAAGTTACATTCCTATGGATGAAGTGCAACTGATAGGCTATCCAAGTGCACCCCAGATGCCCTACAATAGCGGTAGGGCTATCGGACGCAATGGAACTGGAAATCGGAACTTTCATGGCTAGATGATATCGTTATTCATTTTTCTATTGCTCAATGGGCTCATGGACGGACTATTCTTTCCTGCGTAGACGGACCGCAAAGTACCATATCCTCTTCGTCATTTTAACATTTATCCTTCATATACTCCCTGCCTCAGTTGTTTTCTTTGTAGGGGCAACGACACTGGACTCTTCTTTCCTATTTGCCCCATCTCACATACCCCTTCGCTCTCCTGGATAGATTCCCTCACAGTATACCATGAACGCAGACACTACGTAGTTGTTTCTATAATGATGATGATTAATCGAGCGAGCACTTTTTCGTTTCGCGGCTCCAGCAAGACTCAAGCGCAAGTTTTTGACAGGACGTTTTCCTTCGGGAAGCACATTACATTAGCAGACAATATTGTAAGCAAACGAAAGCGATTGACGATTGTGTGATCCATTCTGCGCATGACATGGGAGAGAGCAAGTAATATATAGTCCCTACTCATTTTCTCCAGAATCCAGATAACGGAGGATGGATACGCGACCGGGATGAGTGGTTGGAATTTGCCGAGAACGGAGCAGAAGGGCATTTACTTCTGACTCACGCCTGAATTGTTAACGCTTAGTGCTGAAGCTAGCAGTGCAGTACAAACCAATTCTTTGTGTCACATAAAGGAGCAGAACAAACACCGAAGGAAGTGGTAGAGGCGATGTACGTGTTGATCATAGGGAGGCTTGACTACGCTGTTGGACACAATCATATATACCAATTGGCGTTCAAAATGTACCAATGAGGTCGCGATCTTACATAAATCGACGCGCCTGCGCTCATCTTACTTTTCCCACATATCGGCACATACCGCTTGTCTGGTCATTTGCTTCCCCCTTTCCTCCTTACATTCCCTTGCGCTATTACGCACAGTATGCTGAGGTCGGGAAGGAAGCGTCATGGATATAGCAAACCTTCGTCCCAATTCTGCTACGCTACGTAAGCTATGCGGTATCGCCGATGGGGTTGGATTATAGGTGCTGAGGTCCGACGTTAACCAGTCATCGCGCCTGTGACCCAGGTTGGAGTGACAACAACGCGAAGTGTTTGAGATGCCAGAAATTGAGAACGCCGGTACGCCAAATGTCTAGGGTATCAGCCCCGAGCTCACCTGGCGCTTTCAAAGTGTATTTCACGAGAATGCGACTATAGAACCCACGAGCCTGGGGTGGTTACCGTTTCAGCTAGTCGTCAGATTGTCGCTGTTCGCCCGATTCAAAAGCATCCAGGTGGAGAGAAAAATATCCTCCCCGTTCCTGGACAACTCAATACGAGCACGACGTTCCGAACTTCCTCCTAGCACTGATTTGACATTCCCCCATTGCGGTCCAAGTGATGGTATACTTTGGACCTCTAGTGAAAGTGAATGTGCGTGTTGGCTAAACTAGACCTGATAACCCGAGCTCTGTCAGTGCCAATTCCACCGATTCCCATCGAACCCCCCCCCCCCCCCCCCCCAACCGATTCTTCCGGAGCGAAGCGCTCCAGCTCGATCTGGCCCTCAACAGCTTGGGGAAGTGTCGATGCAAGTGTCCCGCCTTCCCCTTTACACCGCACTTCCCATCTCATCAATCGCACCCATATATGGCCCTCGGATCCTCAAACTTCTTGAGGAGCTCTCTCGAGTTGATGCTACTCGCAACCTCGCTGGCCGAGTGACTCAGCGGTGGACTCTCATGGGTTATGCAAGAGTTTATCAAGGGAACTTGGGATGGTAAGAGAATATTTGAGTATTTTTGAATCTTGCGAACCTGATTAGGTATCACCAGCATGCCGTCTGTATCAAGGTCCTGGGGGGATCATGTATTTCATCTGGCTAGGACGTCATCACCAAGTTTTGTAGGATTTGTATAAGCATTGATCTACTGCGAATCATCGCTGATGTGTGCTGTAGAGAATGCTGCGCGAGGTGAAAATTTGGGCATCACTGCGGCACCCCAACGTGGTTACATTCCATGGATGGATATTGGAATTCTTTCAAGAGGACACGACGTGTGCTAAGTTAATTTCAGCTTGGTGTGAGAGAGGAAATGTATCGGAGTATCTGAAACGGACTCCAGATGCTGACCGCCGTCGACTGGGAAGGCTACCCCACTTCCTTGTGAAACTTTAATACTGATATCATCTCTATAGGTTGTGGACATATCCGAAGGTCTAGCGTATCTGCACTTACAAAATGTAATACACGGCGATATCAAACCGGTTCGTCTTGCTTTCCCTTCTCGTCTATGACTTTATTGGATTTTCTTGACATCTTCCTAGGAGAACATTGTGGTTAGGGGAGGGTGTGCTATGCTCTGTGATTTTGGACTGTCATGCATGCTTTTGGATTTCTCGACGTATAGGGAAGAATCTAGCGCTGCCGACGGTAGTCTACGGTTCACTTTCCCCGAGCTACTCGGTGACCATGTGCAAAACCACGACAGAAAAAGTGACGTCTGGGCGTTTGGCTGTGCATCTGGACAGGTCCTAGCATACCAAGATCCCACGTTATGTACCATTTCTGACTAATGGATCTTCCCGTAGGTGCTTTCCGGCATAAGACCATATGCAGCAGTGCTAGGTGACTTGCAAGTCCTCCGTGCTGTGCAGAGTGGTGAACCCCCCTACGTGTGGAAGGAGTCCGATGAATTCTTCGCTAACCTCGAAAGGTGTCTCAAACAGGATCCAGAAGAGCGAGCCACCATTGAGCAAGTGGTTCAAAGTTTTAGGTGGGATTATCTAAACAGCGTCGGACGATAATTCCGACTTTTACCCTTAGAATCCTGCATCCCCGTTGAGTTCAATCCCGAAATACCCAACTGCTCATGTGCTCATGTGGGCAAGCATGCCTTTCAGTAAGCGAAGGGTTATCTATCCTATTTATGCTGCATGATGCACGTTTCTTATGTGATGTGTGCGCCGCTCATTGTGCAGGATACAGCGTAGCGAATATGGAGACATACATGTTACCTGTTACATTTGTCAGGTCTGGCAGAGCGCCGAAATTGGTGGATTACCGGCGCCACTCGAGGCAGGCGTTATCAAAAGACTCAGCCTGGTCGTCGTTGTCGAATCGGTTAAATTCTTGGATCCTACAACCCTAATTCAATGCCGGGGCTCATCATCGGCGCGGCATTCACACGATTAAATTCGCAGCGGAAATTCGCGCCCTCCCCCCCCCTCCTACAGCCCTAGCCGATGGCACGGCATAAGCACCGACGGAATGTAGAGGAAGGAGCGCGGGTGCGATACTCAAACACAAACGGAACGGGGACGTTATGAAATCGTCAGGCCCTGGGAGGCCAGGCCCGATGATCCAGCATGCACATTGTTATGACGATCTGCCTGCTCATGTTCATTCGTTGGGTTCGTGACCTACCTTCGAGTTGGCAGAGCAATAAAAGATATATTACCTTTCCTACGGAATTTTGGTTTTCTTAGTTTGTTTGCCGTGATCACCAATGCGTTCCCTTCGATCAGATATTTTAATCACATTGTGGTGTGAAGTCCGTGTGTGCACTGAGTGAGTGTGCTTCGGGGCGGAACGGTAACGGTAACGATAAACAATTCGGGTACAGACGTCTGTACGCCCGGGCCGAGGGATGTTAAACGCAAATTCGAATGTAAGTCCTTTAAACAAGTTTGTTGGTGGGATGACCCATTCGCTAGACTGTAGCAAAGAGTGAGCATGATATCAGCTCAGGAAAGGACCGTAGCGAGCTTGAGTAGAACACCGCCTCGCTGCAACCGGTGCGGCGTAGTTGCGTAGATGCCTGGACTCATACTGGACTTCTGTCCTGTTTCCGCCAAGGCAGTAGGGGTGCCGCGGTTCTCAGAGAACCGGTTCGAACCGTGAACCGAACCATACTGGAACCGAACCGTGGTTCGGTTCTGATCTGATTCCAATCCGGTTCAGTTCTGGTTCTCTAAGTTGGGAGGGTATTACGAACCGGTTCGAACCGAACCGAACCACAGAACCATTGAAGGATTGTAGCCTCAACCATGATGTTGAATAAACATAGATATTGCGCATACATTCATCAAGTATTTTGTTCACAGCTTCAGAGATCAAGGTCTTTGTGTTGGACACATTTGGGGATGGCCGAAAACAATTGAAAAGGAAAATTGGCTACACATATTTGGAGTCTTGGACTACCTGGCGCAAATCTGGCAATTTTAGACAAATCCATGGGGGCCTGAAAGCGAGTTCCATATGGACCAAAAATCACATTGCTTGGTTAGTGGTACAGGCCTGTTTGAACCGTTCCGAACCGAACTGAACCGGGACCGAACCGAAATGCGGTTCGGTTCGGTTCTGGTTCTGGGGCCTCAGAACCTGTTGTAAATCCGGAGTTCCAAATATGGCAACCCGCTTCAGCGGTTCACTCGCAACCCAGATGTAATATAGAAAGAAATATAACTAAAATACACACGGCGCTCCAGTGCCCATATTTATACTTCTCAACAATATTCCAGGCTCTCTATGCCCAGCGCTTACGCAGGCGCCTAGTAACCCCTAGAATATTCCCGGATATTCCGGTTCAGTTTCATCATGTGACTCGTATTCCAACAGAACCGAACCGAACCGAACCGTGGCACCCCTACTTGAAGTTGAAGTTGAAGGCAGTAGGTAACTCACTCATTCGGATTTCAGATGGCCAAACGATCGAGTGAGATTCTGCTGAGGGAAATGTAAGATAATTGACTGAGTCAAGAGTGTTGTAATCACGAGTCACGGGGACCGGACACAGCCGGTGTTTATGTGGAGGACTATGTGGAGGGAATTACTAATTCCGTAGTCGCAAGTTACCTTAACAGGCCGCTCCGCAATAGATTTACATTGTATATAAATACGCACAGACGGGCGTTGACAAAAATCATCAGATTTTACCTTAGCTTACATCTGGTCTCACGAGTGTTACCGCTGAGGTAGCGGATTGCCTTATACGGAATCCCTACGTTACAAGAAAGAGGCAATTGTGGTGCCCCTGCATATATATATGACGCTCGCCCGATGAGATGATGAATCTATCGGGACGTCCGGCGTTACGCACACGTGATATTCTGAGCGAGTCTATTCAGTCTTGGATGAATTGAATGCATAAATAAATTGACCCCATTCTTTTTTCGATGAACTGTGTCGAAGCTCGTCGAGTCCCGAATCATTAATGTACAGACGCTCCACTTCACTTGCTTGGACAGTTCGATGCCTTTGCTTGTGCTTGCTGGAAATTTGGCAAGCAACAGATAACTAGTCGGAATGTGGCGCGGCTCTTTTTCCTCAGCGCCTCGCTGAAGTGCAATGTGTTCCGCTTCCGCAATTTCCGAGCACCATAAGAGAGGAGGAGGCATGCGCGCCCTCCGCATCCCCTCCTTCTCTCCGGTCGTCTTCCTCGTCTTCCCCTAGTTCACCATTGCGCGCTGTATGGCCCAAAATACTGCTTCAATACTTCTCTCAGGGCCGGAGGCCCCCCGAAAAAGGCGCAATGAATACCACCAGGGTTCGTGCCAGTCTTGCCACGCTAAGTAAGTGGTGCATCATCGCCATTGATGGGAAGGCAGGCACTAATGACCCGAATCAACTCAGTCATCGATGCTGTGACCGACATTGGGGCGACGGCAACGCCAAGTGTTTACACTGTAGGAAATTGGGGATTCCAGTACGCTAAATCTATTGTATTAGGATATGCTTTTGGCCCCAAGCTAATCCACCCGGTTTCAGTGTGTCAAACGCGAACGCAATTCTGGACCCCGTGAGCCTAGTTCGAAAAATCAGGTCAATGACGCTGGTGCTCCAACCAGTTCTGAACTTGTGCATCCAGATGCGGTGACGCATCCCTTCGTCATTCGAGGGGCTATTCACCCGGCTGAAATTCCCGCAGGGAACCCCAGCAGTCAGGATCGTCGCGATCGTCGTGATCGACAACTTCGACAGCGTTATTCTACCTCGACGACATATAATGAGCCACATGACAGCGAAATAATCCGGGGTATTGCATATGCGAATGATCTTCTTCCTGGTATTCTCTACGAGGGAGTAGCCGCAGAAGCTGCGAGGAATACAATGCTGTGCCGAGTCCTCCGCCTGGTTGGAGCGAGCTTCACGGGAGCGGACGAGTCTAGGAAGGGAGTACTTCTGGATGAAGCCAAACTAGCCTATGGTATAGAGTCTGATGGGCCCACTCTGGCCACTGTCAGCGCTGCATCCCTCTTAGCAGTGTGGGTGTCCCAGTTGAAGCCCCTATTCGGTAAATATAATCGCTAGATTTGGATACCCCATCATCTCTCACCCACATCTTTAACAGCAGAAAATTTGCTAGGCAAGTGGTTTTGCTTACTGTGTACACATCGGCATGTTGCTGATAGAATGCTGATCACATCAGACAATGCCTATGGTTGTCAGTCCTTCCTGTTTTTGGTGCTCGTGTGTGTCGCTAACTACCTTGTAGGGTTAAGTTCGTACAATAGGCGCGAACAACTGATGAATGTGCCTCCCCACAAGATTCACCAACTCCTACTAGAGGTCTGGGCTCTTGTACGTTGCCGGACTGTGTCTTCGGTTCATCCATAGCTGATGTTGTGCAACCTGACCTGTAGGCCAGCGACAGAGGGTTCGAGTTGCGGGTTCGCCGCAGCCCTGAAAGGACTCGACCCCCACCGACTGTGTCACCCCGATGCCGACCGGGGACGCAATCTACAACCATCAACGCTCGTACTTCCCCAACAGTGCGGGTGGGCAACATGGGCGTTGTGCCATCGGAACAAGTCGACTCTGCACCCCCTTCGTCACATCTCCCAGAGCAATCGATGAACTCACGCCCACCAGCCGCGCAGACATCATCTCAACTCCCCATTGATAGTCCACGGTGTTCCATGGCTCCTGCCAACATCGCTGGGATCACTGCAGCGCCAGCACCTCCGCCACCCGCTGCATCACTTTCGGAAATGAGTACGACGTACACGGAAAACCCATACTCTACCTACCCCCGTGACCCCGACCCACTAAGCATTGGAGCCGCTCAGCAACTCACGTTTGACCAGATGATAAACATCAACTATGCGCAGGCCCAGATGGCCCCTAACACATGCGTTCAACCGCCTCCGCCCTCAGGTTACCTTGCACAGCCTACCCAAAGTTTGAGCTCGTTCTTCGTGCCGCCGGCACCGGCGATCCCGTATCAACAGCGAAGCCGAGCTGTTGTGTATAACCCTGTGATGCAAACGTTGAATGGGCCGCAGTTGAGAGGCTATCCAAATGTACCCCAGCTGCCCTTCAACGGTGGTTAGGGTCATCAGTTAGAACTTGGCATCGCTAGATCATGTCGTTGCTTTTATTATGCCCTTGCTCCGTGAATTTATGGACGGACTGCTCTTTCGTGTGCAGGCGGACGAGCAAGGACTGCACCCTCTTCGTCATTTATCTTTCATATACTCCCCGCCTCCGTAGTTTCCTCGACACTGAACTCTTCCTCTTTGCTTCATCTCGCATACCCCTTCGCTCTTTTGGATAGATTCCTTCACGGCATACCACGAACACAGACACTCCATAATTAATTCGGTAGTGATAATGACTAATCGAGCAAGCACTTGAACCTTGTTTTATAGGTGCAGTTTCGTTTCATGGTTCCAGCAAGATTAGTGACACCCCAGTGCAAGTTTCCGACAGAGGAGGATGGGCCGGACAATCAATGGGTACGGAGCATTGATTAGCGTCAGGAGGAGCGATATAGGTTTGGAGTAGGACTGATCAACAAGTCATTAAGTGCCGAGTGTTGAAGACATAGCTGAAATGTACAGTTCAGGGGATGCAAAATTTCAATTGAGTTTTCGTTCAGCCTCCAACTGAAGTTGCCGATGCCTAGCTGTTCTGAACTCGAAGCAGTAATATAATATTTCATGCAACGATCCTATGCACTCAGGAGATCCAGAATTTATCCAGACATGGATTATCCTCAGGGTCGAGGGGTTGATGCATCGGTGCCACGTACAACCACAATAGCAGCGTACTCTGGCTTAATGTCAGTCCCGGTCACGTCACCACGCGTGTCGCCACTCGATAGTAGATATCGGATCAGAGACCTGCCTATAGTGTTCGACCAAATGGCCCCTCCTGACCTTCCATAATCAGATGAAGCCCATGTAAGCGATAAGCTTACATAAGCGTAGAGAACCGTATATAAGCTAGAACATCGTACAGGGTTTTGTGATTTATCTGGCATATTTCCATAATGGGTTTCCATAGTGTGACCGTTATTTCTCCTACAGCGTGGACATGGAAATAGATCCCGCATTCCGCCTTGAAGCAGTCAAGGTCCTCGCTTGCGCCAGCAAAGGTGGTGGGTGTGGCAACCTTGGGTGCTTTGGGTTTGGGTGCAGGTGTAGTGCAGGTGTGGGTGTGGGTGTGGGTGGTGGGTTTTGGATCCTGCTCTCAAGGATTGCTTGCAGTTCTGTCAGGGCACACCCACCTGACCCGGTTCCACCCGGGCCCACCTGGGCCCACCTCACCCGCTCACCCGCTCACCCGCTCACCCGCTCCCCGCTACCCATCCTTCCTCCCTCTTCCCCTTCCTCCCTTTCCTCCCTCTTCCCTCTTTCCTCTTTCTCCTTTATTTCACTCTCCCTTTCTGTTTATTCTTTCTATTTACACGGACCACCTTCCCTTGTATCATTGTACTGTTGACCCGTCCGGCTCGGACACCCCAGATGACTTCCCGCTACGCCCAGCATGCGCACCTGCAGCGGACGCCCTCGGGATCCCCCACGGGGATACCTGGATGGCTGCAGCCCTCTCCGTAGATGACGTGGCACCCGTCATGTGACCCAAGCCGCATGTACATAAATGTACCTGAAGTGGGAACTGAAGAAGTAACCTTCTTCTCACGTTTTCCACTTCAGGTAAGTAGTGTAGTTCTTCCTTTTAATAACAATTCACGTTTTCCACTTCAGTCTAAGTGGCCAGGGACTACAGTCCCAGATCGGGCCCGTCAGTACGCGCGCCCGCTTCGTCCCCCGAGAGGGTCCCTCCGTCGGGCACTACAGCCGGGCCCCCTCCACCCCGGACGCGTCCCTGACAAGTTCCTGGAACCTGGTCAGCAGGTCCTGGTACTGCTCCTTGGTCACCATGCTGGAGGAGGCAGGGGAGACTAGGTTGAAGCCTTCTTCTGCTGTCAGGGACGGTACAGGAGAGGTGGGGGTAGCGGCATAGCCCCCGGCGCTAGTGGCCCAGGTGGCAGCGGAGTAACGGGAGTGTATGGCACATCACAAAAATCGGACTGGCGCTCCCACATGGTCCAGATGCTCCCAGGTGCTCTGGAGCCTCCGGAGTGCTCTGGACCAGGGGACCTTGCTCTAGTTGCCTGTCCGATTTTCGTGATGCAAGTGGCCCTCACTCGGGCTCACATCCCTATTTGGCTTCTTAGGCTGAAGCAGTAGTGATTGTTATTAGAATGAAAGGCTAAACTAAACTAAGCTGGACTAAGGTACTTGCCTGAAGCAGTAGTGAGAAGAAGGCTACTTCTTTGGTTCTGCTTCGGCTTGGTTTATATACAGGTGGGAATGGGTCACGTGGGGGTGCCACGGGCCCGGGCAGAGCTGGGCTATCGTGGGTGGCTCCATGGGCAATCCCAAGTGTTAGAGGAAAGAAGTACAAGTGAGGATGTGAGGGCTGTCCGGCGGTGTGGTACCCACATGGAGTACTTGGCATTGCAAGCAGGAAGGGAGGGCAAGACCACAGTCAAGGGTCGCGTCACCACTCTCCAGCTGCTCCCTCACCAAAGGGAAAGAAGAAGGGGGGTGGAATGGGCACCTAGGGTTTCGGACTCACTGTGACCCCAGTCCCGACTAACTCAGCCTAAAAATCTCAACACTAGGTGGACCTCCCTGGAAGACAAGCTAGCAGTACTGCCTGAAAAGCACTGTCCCCAAGACTACAAGCACTCAAACACCACCCCAGGCACACGGACCTAGTACTTAGTGGAGCAGAGGGGAGAATCCTGTATCATACTAGATACATTTTGTATATAAACCATGGTCATCCGAACTAAAGTCCGAGCAATCTGATGGTGTTAGGGATGGATGGAAGTGGATGGAACAACACAGAACAAAGAAAACAACAGAAAACATAAAAAATATATAGGAACGGCCACACAATCGATAAACTCCGACGATCTCCACAACGGCTGCACCAAATCTCCCGATCTTGGACTCGTTCTACTCGTCTTGATGGTAGCTTTCCAGCGATACCAAGTGCATCCGGATCGGAGAAGAACTGGGGGAGTTATGGTGAAAATACTGTGAAAGCGGCCCGGTAACATGTCCAGGTGGGCCATAACCTAGTCTGAAAAATTATCAAAAAAAACAACAATGATAGGGGAGGTTCAACAGGCTTTGGAGGAGGTGGGGAATCGTGTGTCAGGTCCTAGGTAACGTCTGTAGGCCATGATATAGTGGCATCTGGGTACTACCAGCTCATCCCTCCCACAGCGTCGGACGTGTCTGTGCTACACAGGTAAGAGGAGAGGTCATCCATATAAAGAAAGAAAGGAAAGGAGAATGGGAAAGGGGGAGGAGAAGGAAAGAGGAGTGATGGGAGGGTGTGGAGCAGCATGCCCTGACAGAGAGTCGAAGGAGGAGGTAGTCCTAGGGTCATTGGCATCAACCGGAGGCAGCAGAGAGAGATTGGGAGGGCTGGTGGAGGTCATAGGAGTTGTATAGGAATAGGGCAGAGGAAGGTGGAAGATCCGGGATATGACAATAGCGGAAATAGTGCATTGAATACAACCTGCATTCTAACTATGGCAAATCACATGCAGATATCGGCTTATGGGTACTCAACCTATCCAGATAGGGGTCCAGGTGTCAGGGATCGCTCATCAGTCCGAGTTGAATATCGCCTGAAAACCTAGTCGTAGACAAAGCTGAGGTTCCAACCCTCAGTGGCACATAGAGCTATATACATGAGTGACATCAATCAATCGGGAGAGATAGGATCAAAGGAACTAAACAGTGATCTGATAGAAAATGAAGTGAATAGAAATGAAGGAATACTCGGATCAAAGGGGCAGTGTCATATCCATACAATCCCAACCTCTGCTCCAGGCTCCCGGAACTCTGAAACTGACTCTGGAGCCCTACTTCCCTTCCGTCACCTTCTCCTTGCCGACTCCCAAGAGGTTATCCCACCTCCGGCTCTGACACCGCCTTCAGTCCGACTCTGGAACATCCCAGGTCCGACCTCAACCTTGACACCTTCCAGACGAGTATGCTGTAGGAGAAATAACGGTCACACTATGGAAACCCATTATGGAAATATGCCAGATAAATCACAAAACCTCATATGACAAGTAGATATAAGAAAACAGAAGGACACAAATTTTTACGAATTATTATGACTATACGTGATAAATCGAAAGAAAGAAAAATAGCAAAAATACTTCAAGCTTACCATCAACGAGACGGAATTCCCGGGGGAATTTATAGCAAATATTAAAACAAGAATTAGGACAATCGACCAAGATTTGACTATAAAAACAATCAGAGAACCTCCACGGAAACTACTTTCCCATGTCCACACACGTAGCCAAGGATGGAAGTACCACGGAACAAGAATTCCTCAGGAACTAATGCAAAATTCAAAGTCGTGTTTATAATAGGAAATGTAGATGTCCCCCAAACGGACCCAATGAGAGTAATTACAGGGGAAACTACCCATAAACGACGGAGATATGACTAAAACTCCTGCAAAACGAGGACAATATCTAAAAGGCAAGCGCGAAAATTAACCAGTAACGACCGAGACAAGCTTGATGGGCCATTAGAAAGGAAGAAATCTAATCTTAATCCTCCCAAATTTTCATAATAAAAGGATCATGCGTTAATGAGATATCCAATAATGGGAATAGCAACATCAAAAGTCCGAGCTCAGGGAAAAGACAATGTTTGCGTAGGATCCATAATTAAAACATACAACGAAATTTACACGGAAATTATAAAAAATGGGGAACTATAGTTATTCAAATTTTCAGCCCAAACGGTCCAGCCGTTGTGAAGTTATACCCATGATGGGAATATAGAAATCCGCATCATGTGTAATGACACGTGAGGGTGGCGATGCGCAGGGAACCGGCTGTCGGAACCGAGATCCGCACTTTGGCAGATCGCGAAGACCAATTTCCGTCCAAATAAGGAAGAGCCCGGTCAAAACAAAGCACGGAAAGTGCAAAGCAACCTTAGATCATGAGGGAAAAATCTGAAATAAATCACAGAAGCCCATATGAAAGAAATAAAAACCTGTGCATATCATAAATCCTGAACAATTAAATGGAAACGGCGCCCGCATACGAACGACTATGGGAATGATGCACGTGATTACCGAATGTGCGCGCGAACTTTTGCTAACTCAACGAATACCAGGAAATAGGACACAACCTTAGTACCATTGGAAAGGTGGGAATAAATGAAA